TTGAGACAGGGTCTCACTTAAGTTGCTGAGGCTGACTTGGAACTTGAAATCCTCCTGCCTCAGCCTCCTGAGATGCTTGGATTACAGGCACTTGCCACCACTCCCAGCGCAGTTCCTCATTTTAAGGAACAGTAGCAACTAAACTTGGGTCCCAGAGTGACTTTGTTGGTTCCATGGAAACTCTGTCGACTTGTTGAAAACAGTATAGCAAAGACATAAAGTTAGAAGAAGAAAAAAAAGACCAGAAAAGATGCAGCTTGTGCAGAGCAGAAGTCTTACAGATTAATAAGAAGGGTGGAGGGAGCCCCCTGTAGCTTTAGTTGAGAAAAGGGAAAGAGAGCTGATAACTTTGCAGACCCAAGGATAGAAGAGAAATTTATTAGTTTAGAAAACTAATTCGTAAAATATGCAAAGTGAAGAGAAGAGAGGAAGGAGTTAGAAGGAAGGAGTACGGGAGAGATGAAGGGTACTGGCCGTGAGATCCAGGATACAGTGAGGGAGGATCAGTGAGATGGTCAAAGATGGGAAAACGCTTGGTCATAATGGATGGCAAGGGTGTCTTTTCTAGAAAGAGGCAAGGCATGCTTTTGAAAAGCTATGAGTCTTTATTGCCAGAGACTTCATTCAGTTTTAGAAGAATCCAATCATCAACAAGAACAGACCAGAACAATAAAAGAATTGCTGGGAAATGGTAGAAATCAACCTCCTGCTGAGGAGGTGGGAGGTTATATTGGTTGGTGGGTTGGTCCCAGGACAAGAAGAATAACAGTGCCATACCTCATTGCTTCATCCAGCGTTGCAGGGACACTCTGGGTCCACATATAAATATGGGAAACCAGGTGATGGCCTTAAGTCAGAGCAAGATGCGAGCCCTTAGTTGGCCACCATTTTCTTCCAGGTCTGAATAAGAGGAAATAACGGATTTAAAGCGCAACTTGAAGAATTTTCAGTTAGAGTCAGAGAAGAACTTTCTGGCAAGGAGAGATTTAGTCATCAGAACATCTCCTTAATGAGACTGTAGCTTTTTCTTCTGAAGTGGTCTCTTTAAAAAGGAGAAAACTCTCAGCTCTCTGAAGTGGTTGTGTCTGAAACAGTTTGAAGCCGAGAAAGCACTCAGTGACCTCTTAAGGCAACCCCAAATTTATTCAAGCAGCCAGAGCGCCAATATTAAAGAAGTGAAAAATCGATGGAGATTTACTCTGAGAGGTCTTGACCAGGAGCTCTTAAGAAACTTTCCCTTAGGAATTATGTCAGGATTAATATCTAGAGAGCAGACGGGTGTTTTGTATTTAATAAAACTAAAGACATGATTTTCTTTGTTTACTCAACCATAGTTTCATACCTTCTTCTTTACAGCCTGAATTCTTGCCTTTTCCTTCCTTCCATGTTTCCATGTCCTTGGATTCTCTTTGACAAGTACCCATGATGCCCCTCTGACTGGGAGAGCTGGGAACTGTGCCATAGGACTGGCCGTGCGGGAGGAGGACCCCCAGCCCCACCCTGCCTCTTGCCTGCACCTGAGTGCAGACCAGGGCCAGGAGTTTTGATAGGCTACGGCACAAGGAACACGAAGGGCCAGAGCACAGAGATTTGAGGCTAAAAACAGGATGACCACCCCTGAGGAGGATGCCATGCAGATTTAGGGTTTAGAGTCGAATTTGAGGAAGAATTTAGGGGCAGAAGCACAGGAGTGCTCTAGAGCTGAATTAGAACCATGATTTAAGGGGGATGGGCACGGAGCTAGCTCAGCCAAAGAACTGAGACAATATGGCTTCAGTACAACTTGGCACATGGACTGGTCATCTCGACAGTCTTGTGCAGGACTTGCTCCAAGGTAGAAGGAACTGTGTGAGTCTGGATGTGGAGAGAGAAAGCATTTCTACATATTCCTGTCACATTCTAGAATGTGCTCCTTTGGTTCGGAGCACCTGAATGGCCTCC